GTGGACGTGGTACAAAGAGACTTGTCTCTTTGACGAGTTGTAATATGGTGCTACGAATGGCGAGACTCACTGACGATGCCAACTATGAGGCCGGCGAAACGTCTGGAAATGTACCACGTCCACGGTCTGACTTTGGAAAGGATTATGCATAAAATGGACTCAGGACAAGCTGCGTTCCTCTAAGTCTTCCTACCAATATGACCGAGTTGCGAAAACAAGGTCAAACAATTTCTATACTACGGAAGGAGACTGCGACCACAAAAAAGACCACACCATCTTGGTCTTCATACTTGGATAATTACTGCTCATCATTCGACCATCTCAGCCGGTTTGCGGAGATTTGTTCTGCCAGTCAGTTGACGTGAAGCAAATCGCTTGTTTCATCTACTCCCCGGACGGCTGGAGGTGATTTGGTGGTCTCGTCAAGGCAAGCCCGAACGAGTCGCGAAGGCGGTCGGTCGAGGGACTCGTGAATGTCGACCCAACATTGGGCCAAACGAACCACGTGACTCTACATCGAAACGAAGCTGGTCACCATCTCAACACGTCGAAGACATGACTGTCTGTGTGTGAGCATGCACTCGTTTTGTATGTGCAAATTTGAGCACGTATGCACTAAATGTGCTTGTGTGTGTGCGTATATGTGGGTTTGAGCGATGTTTAAGTTTTCTACAACCCTGCATCTGGTCGAACGAACACCTCGAGAAAGTTGTGTGTGTGTATATGTGTGCTTCGGTATGAATATGTTTTGTGATCTATGATTAGTTGAACCTAATTACGAGTACGCTTTTGTACAGGGCTTGATAGTTGCATGTTCATGTGTTGTGCAGATCAGTGCATGTTTTCTATGCGAGTATGTTTCGAGGCTATTAGTAATACGTGTTGGGAAGCAAGGATATCTGAAATTCCATGGAATTTTAATTTCTATTCATAGCATTGTGGGAAAATTCAACTATCACTGCTTTGTCACCTCAAACGAAATAGGATGAATTCATCTCAGATATTAGTCATTCTTGTATGCAAACCTGTGAAAACCATGAATTAATTGAGTCTACTTAATAATACCATCGAATCAGCTTAACTGAACCAATTCAATTAAAGTTGTTATTCAAGAATCATTGACAGCTTGACAAAATTTCAGAATTAATACGTAATATCGTCGAATATGTTGACAAATGCAAATTTGCCTCATCCACAAACACCGTGTATGTCACATACGCTTTGAGACATTTTGGCATTTAAGTCCAAGGAGAGTGTATATAATTTGTGTCTCCATGATTCGAGTCCTGCTTTAATGAAATTTAGTAGAATCTTGAGATCTACTCATGCAATTTTGGGAATTTTCGCTTCATTTTATTTCGCCCAGCTGCATAAGTTGGTTATTGTGCGTGTGTGTGTTTATATGTATCAGTATGCTTTATGACGTGTGCTTTGTCATGCTAGCATAGGGATGTTTGTTTGTGTCTAAATTGTACATATTTATGTGCGCTTATCTGTTGTACATGTGTTGCTATACACGAGGTTGCTCATCGTGAGTAGGTAGGTGCATGCAAATATGTTGATAGACCAAGTGAAGAGGCCAGAAGTGGTAAGTTTATGAAACAGGCCAGCACATGAAGGAGAAGAAAATGCCATTTGAGCATAGAAATTGTTGCCGAGGTTACCATCACAAACGGTCGATTGGTCATTCTGGCTGTGGTGTTGTGAAACGCCAGCGCGGAAGTGAAGAGAAGGCCTGCGTCTAGAGGGCGTCACACTCACCCGAGGACCAATCAACCAGTATGGCGGGATTCGGTCTAAGGCGACATGACTTAACATTAAAGTCTACAGGAGCATGAAACCATCGCATCAGCCATATCCGTGTTAGAAGCACCCTGGCGACAGCTGAGAAGAACGCAACTGCGAGAAAGGGGTCGCAAGCCGACATCGGACAGTCCCTCTGGGCACGAAGCATGAGCACGGTCTGGTTCGCGAGTGTCGAGTTCTCAGTCTCTGAGTCTTTTTGGGTCCTTCATTTGCTAAATCAAAACGACACACTACTCTTGGGTTTATCAGTAGACGATGACGAGAATGTGTCCGTCGGAGTCTGGCATGTGCGCTTGGCGAAAAAGCACCACAAAAGTGGCCCATTTGTTCATGACAAGCCCGTTTGATGAGGATCACTGAACCATCTACCGCCATAGTAACCCCACCCGCTGCTGCCCCCCTCTTTTTTACCCCCATCTATCTCCCTACCTCCCCTCCTCTCATTAAACGGGAGCGATTCTCATCGACCGCCAGTCGACCGGATTCATCGTCACCTGCGAGACTCGAGCCTCGGACGGACGTTTA